AGAATGGATTAAAAAATGTATTTGATACCTATAAGAGTCTCATTTAATTCTATTATTTTTATAAAGATTTTCTTTCTTTCTTTCTTTCTTTCTTTCTTTCTTTCTTTCTTTGAGAGAGCAAGGGAGCACAAGTGAGAGAGCACAAGCAGAGGGAGCAGCAGCGAGAGAGAGAAGCAGAGTCCCCACTGAGCAGAGAGCCCAATGTGGGGCTCAATCTCAGGAACCTGAGATCATGACCTGAGCCAAAGGCAGCTGGTTAACTGACTGAGCCACTTAGGCACCCCAAGAGACTCATTTTAGACTTAAAGGCAGTTGTTGATCTAAAGTGAAGGGATGGAAGGGGAAATCCAAATCAAAACTACAATGAGGTATTACCATCTATCAGAATGGCTAAAATCTTTTTGTGTCTTCTTTAATTTACACAAAAAGATGGAAAAACATTCCATGCTCGTGAATTGGAAGAATAAACATGGTTAAAATGTCTATCGTGCCCAGAGCAATCTACACTTTCAATGCCATCCCTATACCATATAAAAAATGCCATCATTTTTCAAGGAGCTGGATTAATCCTAAAATTTGTATGGAACCAGAAAAGATCTCGAATCACTAAGGAAATGTTAAAAGCTGGGCACATCATGTTGCCTGACTTCAAGCTATATTACAAAGCTGTGATCAAGACAGCTTGGTATTGCCATAGAAACAGACACATAGATCAGTGGCACAGAATAGAGAACCCAGAAATGGATCCTTAACTCTATGGTCAACTAATCTTTGATAAATCAGGAAAAATATATCCAATGGAAAAAAGACAGTCTCTTCAATAAGTGGTGCTGGGAAAATTGAACAGCTTCAAGTAGGAGAATGAAATGTGACCATTCTCTTATACCATACACAAAGATAAATTCAAAATGGATGAAAGACCTCAATGTGAGACAGGAATCCATCAAAATCCTAGAGGAGAACATAGACAGTGTCCTCGTGGGGCTGGTCACAGAGCACCCCTACCCTTCCTTGGGTTTCTCTGCTGAAGGTGCTCAAATAATCCTGACATGCCTCAGGTTAATGCTGTAGGAGTCCTACACTCCAGAATGGAGAAAGTGAAACTGGCTCTCCCCCTTTTTGAGAACTGGTGTGATTTCCAAGAATAGAAACTGAAAGCAGCCATCCCTGATTTCCCTGCACTTGGGCTGGGGTCCTGCCATGACCATTATCCAGAAATTATACAGCTCTGAGCAGGTTAGGCACCAGAACAGTAAACCCTGCACTTTCACCTTCCTATCTCCTTTTTTTTCCTTTCCAGGCTCTTCCTAGGACACCCCAACCCAACACAGTTCTCTTCTTTCCTTACAGAGCATCCTGGGCATTGAACACGTTTTGGATGGTCTCAGAGGGATTGGTCCCTGCTTCAGGGCTAGACTCTTCACCAGGGAGGGGTAACTTCCAGGAAGACCACCGATACCTTCTTGATAGTAGTCACCCAATGCTTCCTGGAGCAGGTAAGTGAGAGGGCTCTTACAACCGAACTTGGCTATTAACCCTCCTACTGTGACGTGAAGATAGAGTCTGACACCAGAGCAGAAGAGCTTGGGGACTGGATTACCCATTTCAGTGAATAGTCACCATGGAGACCCTCTCTGATATTCTTCAGGGACAAAACAGCACCCAAACGCTTTGGCTGCTGCAAACCTATCCAGTCCTCCAGTGTGGAGGTAATGGGGTTATCAACTCCATGTTCACAGCACTGAGGTTGGAAAAGGACAGGAAGATTTGTCATTCGTTTTCTCTTAGGGTCTAAGTAGTATGTAAGACAATGACAATTTCAGGGGGTAGCCTGGAGTTGGGAGAGTCTATCTGGAACACTGCCTTGACCTCTTGTGGATGAGGGAGTGGAGGTGGGTTTTCAGGGTCAAGGGGTCTAACAGACCTTAGACAATGTATAACAGTGCACATGTGTATCTGCATTGGAGAAACTATTCCCCTTGGTGGACACCAACTCCATCCTTCACCTCAGTGAGGTGGACTCTTGGAATACTCTTCCCAGACCAGGTCCTTTTGTGCTTCCTGCCCACTGATGATGCAGATGTTTATTATACTTTCCCAGAATAAATCAATATGTTGATTTTTTTTCCCTCATCCTTTCCCTGTGATGATAAAATGGGGGAAATATGGGCTTGTCCCACGTTGGGTTCAAACTACAAAAGGCCTTGATGCCTTAGATTTCTAATTTGGTGATCATTGGGCATGGTACGAACTATATAGGACCCTGTGTTGGAAGTTCACTAATGAGTGTTTTCCTTTCTGTTTCTAAGGTCATGAAATCTATCTGGTGCATTATAACAAGAGTTCAAAATAAAATTTACCCAGTGCAATAGAATCCAGTAGGTTAAAATAAAGGGTAGACAGACTGTTGGTCAACTCTTTCTTCAGGTCTATGCATATGTGTGCATGCATGTGTGTTGAGTGTGTACTTAGTTCTTACGTGAAATGCATCTCTCACTGCTGATCTCATTCAGAAGGCTGAAAGATCTGCTCCCAGGGTCTGGTTCCTTTGCAAGCACAGCTGCCCTCTCTAGTTGAATCTGCTACCTGGGCTCCTTCCAGAAAGTCCTATGTCTCTTCACTCAGAGACCCTCAAACTCTCTTTAGAGAGGGAAGATCAGAGTTTTAGCATGAGTAGGATCTACAAGAAGGAAGCGGGGGGAGGCACTTGCACCTGGACTTGTCAATGACGGCTTCTGGGTCAGTAATCTGAGCCTCAGTGTTCTGCAGACACATATGCACTGACCACTCCTAGAATAACTTACAGCTTGTCATGGAGTTACCCTTGTCCCATCCTGCAATGGTAGTGACACATGGGCACAGTACTGCCTAAAAGGATCCTGAGAGGGTCCCATGTGGGAGGTTGTCTAGCAACAGATGCAGGGCAGAGACCAGATGAGAAGGTAGTAGGGAACAGGAGACCTGTGGCTTGTGCTTCATAACCTCAATCACCCCCCTTCAGTTGGGTCCAGCGCAGGGGCTCAGCTGAGAAGACATGTGAAAAGTCCATGGTCAGACATAGTCATAGAAATAGTCTGGAAAAATATAGGTTTGTGCTCACCTCCCACACCCACCTTGTGGTGGGGAGATGGTCATACTCTGCCCCAGCCCCTACTTGCTTTCCAAAGGGCTGTGGCAGAAATGGCTTCAACATTTCAGATGACAGATTTAGGAAGCAAAGTTAAATTATCCATCAACCAATAAGTAGAAGATATGCAATGGTATATTGTGTTCCATTCATCTAACAGAAGTATGTCCCATACCTGCTAGGACTAAGGGTACTAGAATCTAGGGAATTATTTACTGTAAGTGCAAAGACTTGCATGTGTATTTTTATGATACTAATCATCTAACAGGGGATGAAAGAATGCTTTTTTGGGACTTTAAGCTTTTGAGGACACAGGGTTTTTTTCGATTGATCTACCAGTTGGGAAGTCAAGGTGAGGTGGGTACATGTGGAAGCTGTGATGGGATTTAGACAAACCAGGAAAAGAAATCAAGGGCTGTAGCCCAGGTCCTATGTTCTGGCCTGCTTGGGCACCACAGGAACACTGGTAAGGACATTCATCCTGTCTTTTCCATCCCATACTTGGGCAAATTTACAGGCAAGCAGAATATATAGCATGCTGAGGGGCAGCAGAAAGCCCTTCACACAACCAAGACAGTGAGCCTGGAACTCACCCAAGAGATTGTCTCCCTGGGGGCGCCTGGGTGGCTCAGTGGGTTAAAGCCTCTGCCTTCGGCTCAGGTCATGATCCCAGGGTCCTGGGATCAAGCCCCGCATCGGGCTCTCTGCTCAGCGGGGAGCCTGCTTCCTCCTCTCTCTCTGCCTGCCTCTCTGCCTCCTTGTGATTTCTGTCTGTCAAATAAATAAATAAATCTTAAAAAAAAAAAAAAAGAGAGATTGTCTCCCTGGAACCATGATGGCAGTTAAGGCCTCCAGGGACTTCTGTGTACCTCACAAACAAGAATGGAGGCTATTCTGGATAATAGTCAAGAGAGGTCTTAAAGAAGGCTTTGAGTACAAGGGCAAGGGCTACTCTTCTTCTTATTCCAGAATGTTCTTTCAGCCTGAGCCAGCCCAGAGCTCCATCTTTCTGACTTCTAGCCAGCTTTAGCCATGTGTGCCTGCCCACCACCATGTCATTCACCCCCTCACCGAGCTCAGGGCACCTCCACTCCCTGCAGGAAGAGGCACCATTTTTGCTGACCTATTGCAA